CCTTTAGCATGTGCAATATTTCAGGCAAATGACATGGGCCATAACTACTTCAGATCTTATCATGTCATGGTAAGATTAAGCTATTGTTATTGCAACATTTGCTTGATGTGTTGAGTTCAAAGAAATCATTGGCAGCAAGAAGTTAAAGGAAACCTACCAACAATTTCAGTGTGTACATTATATTAATCTTATAACTGCAATTATATAGCACTATTCAGATGCATTTCATAAGTATTTGAGGACCTATTATACATTGGAAAGAGCTATACACATTCATATAAAATTGAATGTTTTCTCTATAAGAATTCTTAATCTAGTGACCATGAATATTACTAAAGGCATTTCCCTTTGTTCTCCAGGTTGGAACATTGCCTGTTTTTCAAGTTGATACCTTGAACATTTATCAAGAATCAGCTCTTTATTTTGATTCAGGAGAGAAACAGGTAGTCAATATTTGGTTATCTTTCCATATTTTTTTTTATTTTTATGAAGTTTCTGTAACCCATATACTTGTATTTTATGCTTGGAAAGAAGAAGAAGAAATAAGCATCTAGTTAATATCTAAAAAATGTCAAAAATAGTTTAGTTCCTATGGGGATTAAAACATAGTAATTTTTGTCTGTGTCTCAAATTGTCAAATGCTTATATTTTTCTGGGACATATTTAGATTAATTCATGTCTTCATAGTAATGAAATTCATGATAATGATATACTTTGACTTTTCAACCCAAAGAAATAGACATTATAGATTTCTATTCACATCTATGTCTCAAAAAAATAGTTTTTAATTGTTTTGAAAAGGTTAGTAATCATTTATTTATAACAAAGTAGTAGTCATGAGCAGAGATGTTGGAATCAGAAAAACAATTCAAATTTCAGCTTACTTAAAGCCCTTGTGTTTATTGCTTGTTTTATAGTCACTTGATATAAAACACTGTCAATTTCTTAGTAGTTAAACACATTTTTTAAAATTTTTTCACACCATCATTCAGTGAGGGCCATTGGGTGTCTGATCCACACAGTCATTCAGGGATCCAGGCCATTCTTTAGGTCCACTTGATCCTCTGCATCTGATAGAACATGCAGAGGATTGCATAGGAGAAAGTTTTAGGATCAAGTCCCAGAAGAACATATCTCACTGCAACCCTTTTCTTTGGCCAGGATTAGTCACAGAGTTCCATATAACTGCAAGAGAGGATGGCAAGTATAGTCTGTGTGTTCAGGAGGGAAAGGAAATGGGGTTTGGTTGATCATAGAACTATTTTTGCCTCACAATTCAATCTCTTTCAGCCAAAATTTCATCACATAGGAAAAGGCATAATTATGCATATTTCATAAAGTAGTGATGATTAAACATGTTGTCTATAAAACATTTAGTAAATGCCTGGAATTTAGTAGGTAGTCAAAAAATGTTATGATCATTGCTGTTTTCCTAGAATTCAACTTCACTGGGTTTGAAATTTATTATGAGTCTAAATCACTAAAATGCTGAAATACTGAAGTAATTTTTCAATCAAGCTAACACCACTAAGACTCTAGTTATCAGAATCTCTAACTAGAATACACTTTAATTTTGAAATTATAAATTCAACCAGGCTATTTACCTTGTGTCAATTTTTCTCCTTTAACATTAAGTATGTAATCTAAAGTTTCTCAACATTGGCACAATTGACATTTTGGACCAGATAATTTTAATTCGTTTCCTTTCCTTTTTTTCTTTCCTTTCTTCTTTTCTTTTTTTCTCTCTCACTTTC